CATCTGAGACCAAAATACCCAGACATATGCCCAACCACGAGGGCCACACTCCTCCTATGGGACAAGTACACCAAGAAACACTATCCCACCTCATACATATCCCCAGCACTACAAATTCCAGCATTCCAACTCCTCATTCCGGGGTTCGATCATGGCCTATGGTGCAAACACGGAGCCACACGCCTATCGCACTTAATGAGGGACGGTCGCCTAATAGACTTTAGTACTCTAACCAACCAGTACAACCTACCTCCCAAAGCCTATTTCTCATACTTACAATTGCAATCATGGGCGAGGAAGAATATAGGTCTAGAAGCTGCACAAACGCAACCACAGACACTGACAGAGATAGAAAAAGTATGTATGGCCCCAAAACCGCCACAGAAAATGCTGTCACTCCTGTATAAACTGACCAAAAAACAAGACCAACCACAGAAATTAAGCTTCATGACGGCATGGGAAAAAGACCTGAATCTGACTATACCCAATGAGGTATGGTCAAAAATACTGTTAGCACACAAAAATCTCACACTAAATGCATCCCATATTGAGACTAGCAGGAAAGTGTTATATCGCTGGTACATGGTACCCACCAGGCTGAGCAAAATGGACCCAAGTAAGTCAGGGACATGCTGGAGATGCTTACAGGAACCGGGGTCAATGCTCCACATATGGTGGACCTGCCCAGGAATTAGGCCCTTTTGGAAAAGCGTCTCGAATATCATAACCAAATCCACTGGCAATACTCTGCCACACTCCCCAGAAACATATTTACTGCTAGCCCTGCCACATAAGCTCTCAAAAGCTGATATGTACCTAACATACCACATTATTATCACAGCACTAATGGCTATAAGCAAGACTTGGTTGAGCACACACCCACCCAGCACTCAACGATGCCTAGATATGATAGACACTACCCAAGGGTATGAGATAGAAGCTAGGCGACTAAGGCCGACAAACAAAGCCTGGCAAACAGCGTGGCAGACATGGACAGCATGGCGACAAAATGCCACACAGGATGGTAGTCATGGCACCAGCTAACACTTGGAAACACTTCCAGATGTTCCAAACCGACCTTCCCCTCCACCCCTCCTCTTCCCCCCCCCCTACAATAATAGGGTGATACCTAGTCGCAAGACTAGGTTAGTTGTCAAATAACACTGGTACAGGTGCAGGCTACAACGTTAAAATGCTATGGCACTGAGATGCTGTGACTGGCCTCCCCAACAAGCTGTTGGGGTTCCCAAACACTGGACGAAGTATGAAACACTTCCTAAAGATGTATAAAGCAAAATGTAATTGTTATTCTGCAACTGTACAACTGTGTGCATCTGTTACCACTATTCTAAACTCAATAAAAAATATTACACAAAAAAAAACAGGTCCAGACAAGCGTCCATTCTAGTTGGTGCTTGTACAAGTTGTGACATGAAGGTGTCATTTAACAAGTTTAAAAACCTAATTCCCTTTGCTGAGCTACTAGTCCCTCTGTCCCAATTTATGTCCGGGTAATTAAAATCTCCAATAATTAACGTGTTACCCAGATTTGCAGCTTTCTCAATTTGCTCAAACAGATGTTGTTCCTCGTCAATATTAACATTAGGTGGTTTATAACATATCCCAACCAATAGTTGGTATCCCTTCTTTTCCCCCCAAGCAGATATTTACCCATAAAGCTTCCACATTTTCCTCATCACATTTCATTTGCTTAAGATTTGGCTTTAAATCATGGTTGACATACAAACATACCCCACCACCCTTCTTGATTTTCCTATTCTTCCTAAATAACATATACCCATTTAAGTTAACTGCCCAGTCGTGTCTCATCCCACCATGTTTCAGTTATGCCTATTATATCATATTGTTTAGTGTGTGCTAATGCCTCTAGTTCTCCCATTTTGTTACTTAGGCTCCTTGGATTAGTAAGCATACATTTAATATCATGCGTCACTTGTATATTTTGTGATTTATCAACATTACATAGCTTCTCTGTTCTGAGCTTGCCCCTCCCCCCGTCTCCACCCACTTATCTCCTTTCTGTCCTATCTCCATTTTGTAGATTGCTATGACCCTCCCCCCCCCTACTACTAGTTTAAAATCTCCTCCAACCTTCTATCCATCCTATCCCCCAGCACTGCAGACCCTCTCCCGTTTAGGTGCAATCCATCACTACTATAAAGGTTGTACTCAATTGCAAAGTCAGTCCAGTGCTCTAAAAACCCCAAACCCTTCTTCCTGCACCAAGACTTAAGCCACGCATTGACCTCTCTAATCTCCCGCTGCCTTTCCACTGTAGTGCGTGGCACAGGTAATATCTCAGAGAATACCACCTTGAAGGTCCTTTTCTTAAGTTTGCTACCTAATTCCCTGAAATCATTCTTTAGGACCTTTCATCTTCCTCTTACTTTGTCATTAGTACCAACATGGACCATGACCGCTGGGTCATCCCCAGCCCCTCCCAATAATCCATCCACTCTGTCAGCAACATGCCAGACCCGAGCACCCGGGAGACAGCAAACTGTCCGGTTGAGCCGATCAGAGCGGCAGATTGCCCTATCTGCTCTCCTAATGATAGAGTCCCCTACCACCACAACCTGTCTTGTCTTCCTTACATTTTGATCCCCACCCGTACTAGGGGGGCTGTTAGCTTGGCTGTTAGAAGTAACAGTTTCCTCTAATACATCTACTCCTGAGCTGATGCTCCCAACATCTTCCCTCAAATGGGCAAATCTGCTAGGTTGCACCAAATCAGGACTTTCCTCTTCCCTCCCCCCTGCTTCCTCGCCCCAGCTACATGCCTGTTCCCCATCTGTCTTATCTTCTCCCTCTCCACTATCTGTCACCACTAAACTCTGCTCAGGGAGCAGCAGACTCCTCTCAAGATTGTCAATCTTCCTCAAAGTTGTGATTTGCTTCTCGAGATCTCTAATCTGAGCTTCCACAGAGAAGCCACTCGCACACAACCATCACAGAGGTATGGACCCTGGAAGGGTACATCCAGGCATCCATACATGCAACAAGATGTGCATTGAGTCAAACCAGCAATCTTGCTAACACTCATTTCCCCAGATACAGAACAATAAAACAATTACTTTGATAGTTTAAACCACTTGTTTGTTTCAACTCTTGGTTTTCTAACTCCTACCTGAAAGAGTCTACTTAATAGATGATGGATGATTTCTTTCACATGGTAATAATGTGCGCGCAACAAGATGTCGCGTGGTACCAACTCCGCCAAGTGTTTGGGTCATGGGACTCTATGGACCCGGTCCAGTAGGAGCATGTCGGCTGGCACGTTGGGGGCCACTGCATGCAAAAGGCCACGGGTGTATCGTGGCAGGTCATCCGGCGGGACTGTCTCCGGAACTCCTCTTAATCGGAGGTTGTTTCGTCTGGATCTGTCCTCTGAATCCATTATTTTCATTTCTAATGTTTCAACATGTTGTTGTAATTGCTGCACATGGTCCAGCAGGTCATTGTGTGCCGTTGCATATTCAGCCATTTTGGTCTCTGTGTGGGCCGTTCTGTTTCCCAAATCTAAGAGGTCTTTGTGCAGGGTATCCACACTAGCTGTCCAGGAGTGCACCAGCTTGATGGAAAGGGCGTCTGGGGCTTCATGCAAGTGTTGTCTGGTGATTGTGTCACCCTGTGTGGTTTCTCCTGGTTCGGGTGGTATACTACCTTCATCTGACGATCCTCCGCCATCTTGTGATGCAGCCCGCATGGGCTGTGCGGGTGCACTTGATTTCTGTCCGAAAAACTTCAGCTTGGTGGACGCGGTTTTCCTGTTCTTGCCTTGAGACATGCTTGTTTTTAGAGGTGAGTTGTGAGGCTTAGCTCTAATGCCGCTAGTGTGTCGAGCCCGTTCACCGGAGCAAAGATTTACGCATCCATCTTGCTCGGCGGTTAGCCACACCCCCCCAACAAGATTTTTTGAAGAGGATCATCTCTCGGGCGGAAAGGATAAGACAGGGTAGAATTATTTTTTAGGGGATTTTAACTGTGTTTTGGATCCGGTTTTAGATAAGAGTGGACCAGTTAAAAAAGACTTAAAAATCATGACAGGAATCTCGCAAAAATGTTTTAATGAGATTCTGAGGATGAATGGCCTAAGGGATTCATGGTGAGTACTGCACCACCAAGAAAGGGACTACTCCTGTTTTACACCCCCACATCTGGTGTATTCTAGATTAGATTGTTTTTTGGTAGAGAGAGATACAGTAAAACTAATTTTAAAAGTTTTGATAACTAATGTGTCATGGTCAGATCGCAACGCGGTCATCATGGTCCTTGGGGGGACTTTGTTAAGATACGATCCAACTGGAGACTTAATGATAGTCTCGTTCCAAAAAACGAAATTTAGAGACCACTGAGCTTTTTTTTTTTTAAAGAGAATGACTCTAGGGAGATTTCTTCGCCGATGATTTGGTGCGCATATAAGTGCACAATTATGGGCATTTTGATTAAATTAGGTGCCTAAGAAAAAAAGATTAGAGGTGCCAGCCTAGCTGAATTACACATACAATTAGATGAGTTGGAAGGGAAAAACAGGAGGGAACCCACTAAAGGAAAAAGTGACAGGCTGCTGGAAATCAGGAACCAGATTAATAAATTACTGATTTAGAAAGCCAACAGCACCCTCGACAATTTTAAAAGAAAGTGGCATCATAGAGGGAACAAAGCTGAGAAATTAATGACTTATAGATTGAAAAATAAAAGAGCAAGTAAAATGGTGTCTAAAATGATTCTGGACAATGAGATATTACTTATAATTTTTCTTAAATATTATTCTCCTAAAATATCTATGGAACAACTATCTAACTTAAATGCACCTATTTCAAAAAACGAGGTAGATAATGCTATAAAAAAAAAAAAATCAAATAAAACACCCTGTCCAGATGGATTTGATATTATTTTTTATTTAACTTTGAGAGATATGCTTAAGAACGCTCTAGTAAAGATATTTAACAACTTTATTCAATCTTGTCAAATTCCTAGTGAAATGCTTTAAGCACATATTATTCCAATTCTCAAACAAAATAAAAACCTGGAAAAGATTGTAAACTATATTTAGCTACTAGATTAAATATGATTATGCCATCAATAATACATCATGACCAAGTCGGTTTTATGAGCAGTAAATCCTTAGTGTTTAATGTTACAAGGGTTATAGATGTGATTGATTCGGCCTTTCACGCAGGGACGCCACTCCTGGCTCTGTCATTGGAAAAGCCTTCGACGGGGTTAGGTGGGACTTTCTCGGGTGTGCTTTGCAATCGTTTTGTCTCAAGGGAAACATATTTGATGCAAAAATGGTCCTTTATTCAACCCCTTCTGCCCGGGTGGTTGGCAACGGTTTTATATCTGATTGGTTTATCTTAAAAGATAAAGGATGCCCTCTTTTGCCTCTGCTTTATTTAAAGGGACACTCCAGGCAACCAGACCACTTCTGCCCATTGGAATGGTCTGGGTGCCAACTCCCACCACCCTTAACCCTGCAAGTTTAATATTGCAATTTTTTATAAACTGCAATAATTATCATGCAGGGCTAAGTCCTCCTCTAGTAGCTGTCTGGTAGACTTCTTAGAACACGAAAAGTGTTTTCAAATACGCTGGACATCCTTGCGCTATGTGAGGACCTCCAGCGTCACTGAAATCCCCATAGGAAAGCATTGAATAATGCTTTCCTATGGGGAGGTCTGACGCGCGTGCACAGCCATTGCCACGCATGCGCATTAGGTCTCCCCCGCTGACGTCAGCGCCAAGGGACAAGTCACTGAATGAGTTTTAACCCCTTCAGCAACATGGGATGGGGTGTGGGAGGTAGAGGGGCACTGCAGGGTCCTGCAGTGCCAGGAAAACAAAGCTGTTTTCCTGGCACTGGAGAGTCCATTTAATGGTTATTGAACCTTTGGCAATTGTTATTGGACCGGATCAAATGGTTAGGGATTTCTTGACCACAGCAGATAGTATCAAGACCACAAAGTATACAGATGATGTGGTTTTAACTGTATCAGACCCAATTGCGTCTCTTGAACAATTTTTGATGAGTTTTCACTTTTGTCTGGATATAAATTGTATTTAGAATAATCGGGTGCCCTTGCGATAAACTTATCAAACGATAAGAAAATATTGCTGGATAGATTCAGGTTTGATTGCTCTATCTGCTCATTTTCCTACTTACGAGTTGAAATCACCAATGACCCCTCTGAACTAATGGAGCGTAACTTTATGCCTTTATTAAAATCCACTAGTAAATAGTTAAAAGAATGGAAAGATAAAGAGTTCTCATGGGCAGGAAGAATCAATGTTATAAAGTTGTACATTATTCCTAAGTGGGTCTATCTTTTTAGAATGATCCCAGTATACTGCCCAGAGAGCTGGCTAAAATTGGCACAATCTGTACTCCATAAATATGTTTGGCTTGGTCTTAATTTGAATAGTTGGTTCTCCTCTGGAATAGTTACTGTTGAAGATCTACTGAAGAATAATAAAAGCTAAGATGTATTTACACTTTCTATAAGCTTCCAATTACAAAATAGACATTTTTAACTATTTTGAGAGAAAATAGCTACTTAGATAATCATTTGGTTACTGTTAAATCTAATAAAATAAAATCGTTAAGTTGGAGAAAATGCTTAAGACTGTCACTCTGAAAAAACTAGTAGCAGACTCTATAACATTGATAAGCGAGGATGTAGATACACCTCTCCTGCCTGTTTTAAAACAAAAATGGGAACAAGAATTAAAAACAAAAATTAATTATAAAGAGTAGATTAATTCAATAAAATTGGTAACTAAAAAAGTGCATTGAAAAAAAAAAAGAAAGTCTGTGATTGGACAGCCACAGAAAGTCTGACCTGGGGAAGATCTGCAGCTTTTGCAAGCGAGTTTTTTTACATATACCTCCAATTAAAAAAAAAGCATGTTTTCACTGGGGGTATATCTACTAAACAGTGATTTTTTTTTTTTTTTAGATTTAGGCAGTGGAGTGCCCCTCTAATAGAGTCCAACAGGGGACAACAAGTTTACAAATTGCTCAAGACATAGCTAGTGAACATGTTTTACTTAGGCCGTGAATTTTGAGTATAGGTCATTAAATACATTTGCATGTTATTTTCTCTCACCTTCAAAAGAAAGTGAAGTCTCTGCTAATTGGCCTCTACACAAATGTTTTAATTCCACACAAAGTATATTTCCATACTAAACATATTTTAAATGGTGTGTGTTGGGAAAGGGGGTGAGGGGTATCATAAAACTAAATGTAATTCAACTGAATATCAATATCTGAGACAGAGTTAGTATCTGAGGCTGACCCAGAATTGTATTTAGCGAATGCCAAACTTTGAATTTCAGGGCACATTCAAGAGATTCTCGCATAATTTTGCAATTGAAGGGATTAGTGAAAAAACACTCTGTAGAATGCGTTGACCCTTAATAATTGTTACTGAATTTCAGTGCAAACAGCAAAATAATAATTAAAAAAAAGCACAAAGGCCAAAAAGGAGAAGTAAAACTTAGTAAACCATGAAAAATGTGTGACCCATTAGAGCACTGGTAGTAAAAGTCAATGTGGGCCTAGGGTCAGTGATTCACTCCCATTCAGTCATAATCCTTCATAAATTAAAACATTAACACATAACATTATCGGTTAATAAAGATGTTTACCTTTTTTTTTTTTTAGAAATGCATTTAATATGTAAAAGGTTTTCTAACTAACCTGTGGTTGAGAACCAAACAACAACATTTTGCCATTTAGCTATTTTAACCTAAACCTTGCAGCTCCTCAGATATTTTCCTGTTTAACGAATAACCCTGTTATTGTTAGTGAATCAACTGTTAAAGTGAACAAGAAATAATATCAATAAAGATTCCCAATATTGCTCTTTTATAATGGGTTACCAAGCACTGAGATTATTTGTTTGCTATACTAGAAATGGTCAGAAATTCAGCAAAAATCTGCAAATTTTATTCCAATGCTCCAAATAGCTAGAATGAAAAATTCAGCTATGTTTCCTGAACAGTTATTTAGACTAACTTAATTCCCTAGGGCAGGGGTAGGCAACCTTTGGCACTCCTGATGTGAACTACATCTCCTATAATGCTTTGCTAGCATTATAGGATATGTAGTTCATTACATTGGGAGTGCGGAATGTGGCCCACCCTAGTGACAATTCACAGTTTAGTGAATAACCCTGTTGGCAAATATTAAAAGGGTATAATAAGGTTTCACTGACAAAGTTCTGTGAGCAAACACTCTGCGATATATTAGTGATGCTTCCAGCCACAAGATGACAGTCTTGGAGAAAGCTTAAAAAAATGCAAAAATCACAACTTTGGTCACACTAAAAAAAAGGGCTGCTATTGGCTTCATAAATATAGATATGCAAACAATATATACATTATTGTTATATAGGAAAGTGATAAAATCTCATTTACGCAAGACAGCCATTACAGACAAACCTATTGAGAGGACAGATGACACCCTAATCCATCAATTTCAGCAGCCATACAGTATCTCTGTTTGCAACAACTTTAAAAAATGAGCTAGCCCCCATCCCCCTTTTATCAGAAGCATAATCTCACATAAGTACAAAAGACAGTGGCAGAACTGCATTTCCAAGATGCTTGATGTGATCAGCATTAATTGTCTTTAATACAGCAGTGAACAGCAGGAAATTCAAGGAGATGAGATCCCAGGAGTGTGAAGGGTAAACAGTGCTCCTGGCTCAGACCTCTCTATCACCCCTGCTCCTTGAAAAGGAGGAAGCGGAATTTTTGTAAATAATTTATCATCCAGACCCCTCTCAGTATCTTTACCCCCTCCCCCAACACCACCATCCTCCAGCAATGTCCAGCTGATCTCCACCCACCCAAAGCCATTCAGGATGATGATGGATGAAGCCCAAACCAAGGAAACACCTAGACAAGTGCAATCAATAACCAACCAGATCGATTCAGTCGGTTCCCTCCCTCTGTCTCAACATAAACAACCACACACGGTGAAATAAAGCCTTAGAAATACGTAGGAAACCTAAATGTATTTATTATGAATGTATGTTACCTTTGATGTGCTTTGGGGTTTGTTTGTTTTTTTTGTTTTTTTTAAATCTTTTTATTTTTAACTTATTTGCTAGTGGTCTAAATATGGTCAGTTATGCATGCAGGATATGGGTACCTTTAAAAATGCTTAAAAAAAACTAATAGTAGCTGCAGCATGTTTTTTATTTATTTATTATTTTTTATACATTGCTGTATGATTGCAAGTTTAAAAATAATATCTACTAGAAGAAGAAAAAAATCTATTACATTGTTTTGTGGCAACTATGTTGTCCACTGTAGTGGTCCTGACTGAGCATAAGAAATATAGTTATAAACATCTGTAGTTCTAGACTACCTCCAGCACTGGATGCCCTTAACATGATGGTTATACTCAGTCTTATGAACCCCTTCTTTTTGCATCTTGTGTTCTCTAAACACAGAAAAACACAGATTGCAAAAAGGAGCTGAATTGAAAGAATTCTAAACCTCAGTTCGAGTCACAGCTTGTCTATTTCAGCCAGAAGTTTGCCATTTTGGGTCTTGATTCTCCACAATTCACTGTTTTGTGTATTGTAAAGTACTGGCATTATAGCCAGAGCAAGAATTGTCCATTTCTGGACATAGGCTAGGTCAAGATTTTAATGGGATCAAGATGAAATCAGATAGGGTTAGTGACAGATCCCTGGGGAGGATGTGTCAGGTTTGTAGGGTCCATTAGAGGCAAAATCATGTAATCAGATTGACCATGCGACATTTGTAAACACCTTGGGCATTTTAATATACAGAGGAGTATTTAGGGCAGCCTCACAAATGTCATTATAGGCTTTAAGTTAAGGGGGTAAGGCCACCCTCCATTTGTGGTGTTATCCATTGTACAGCGCTACGGAATCTGATGGCGCTATATAAATAATAAAATAAAATAATAAGGCCTTATGGTAAAAATCCTAACAGTTTTAATTGTATTTTGATATATCATGGTTTGATGATTTAAAGTTGTACAAAAAGGTATAGTTCTTAATGTAGTTTATGATTTATTTATAAATACTTATGTCTTATGCGTCTTAACCTTTCCTAATAAAAGCTACAGCTTTATATGCAAATACAGTCTCCTGCATATTTATATGTATATCTTTATTATATTTGTAGTTATAAAGGGCTATATGTAATTTTTCATCCATGACATAAATCCCATATAGCAGCACCAAACAGTCAAGCATGAACATTCAAGTTTACATCTACTTAGCAAATATTTCAAACAATTTTAGTTAAATAATATGAGAAAAGCTTTGGGATAGCTTTTTTTAAATTTTATTAAGAGGTACCCATAGTAGATGGGTGAAGTGCTCAGCCTAATGTGAATCTGGTATGAATTCCAAGTCTACACGGAATAAATGGGGATTGTGTGTGGGAACAGTGTGCGCTGATCCTTTAACTGTGTTTTGTATAGATTTTCGTCTCTACGGCAGCATCACTGCTTAGAAAAGCATGGTCTGGGTGTGTCCCCAATTCCCATTTTTTCTGTGAAGGATTTAAGATTTGGGCTCAAAGTTAAATGAAAAGGGTAGATCAATGAGTGATATGTATAGATTCCATCAGCTCTCCTGAATTGAGTCATGCAGTACAGGGCCAGTCACTGATCACTCTCAGCCAATTAGCTAAGCCCTGTACCGCCAGGCCTAGGAGCTTTAGGCTTAAAGGAGGCAGCGGACACCAGGTAACAAGTCAAACCATTACTAAACAGTTTGACTTCCTACACTAGGAGAGCACCAATGCGTTCTAGTGGTTATGGTGCACATAACCACAGCAGATGCTCTAGTAGTATAGGAAGTATAGGAACAGAGTGATGTGACGTCACTTCTTTCTGACACTAACCCGCTGGCAACACAGCCAGCTTGCCCACATCACTGACAAGATTTATAGTTTACATTAAATACACCATCTATCTTTATTATATATGGTGTATTCAATGTATAAGGAAGCGATTTCAGGGGGTTTTTTTCATGAAAGGTTCACTTTAAAGTTTAAAAAAAGGAAACCTATGGAGCCACAACTGTGGCTGGGAGTTAAAATTTGACTTGTTTTTGCACATTCAGAGGTGAGCAACAGGTACCCAGGAGGTCATTATTGCTTTCCCTTGTCAGTCAATGCCAATAATAAAAAAAAAAAACATTTTTTTTATTTTTTTTTCAAAATATGTTCTTAAACATGGCAAACAAAAGGCACAAAGAGGCAACGTATGTGGCTTTATTAACAGGTATGGACAGTCATTAGGGGTTTATTCACTAAACTCTGAATCACAGTGAAAAGAAAAAATAGATTATAAAAACTGAGGATAAGATAGCCAAGCTGTCACTATATCTGCGTTTTAGCTATTTTTGCCTAAAATTTGCAATTTGATTTTTAGTTTACAACAATCTGCATTTGAGAATAAACCAAACTTTATATGTGTTATTTTAATTATTCTGCTAGGTACCCAATGCACTAAACACGTGATTAAAATGCACCTGCTTATTATTATTACTAGTGCTGATTTTGTTATTTAAGTCATTGTTTATTTTCTAGCCCGTGGCAAACTGACAGTGTATTTCTATTGTGCCAAGATAACAAACCTGGAAAAATACAGCTCCCAGGTTTAGTTTGGCTTGCACAGTTTAATGTAAAAAATACAATTTATTTTCATTAGGAGCATACATACATGTATTAGAACAAAATGCATGTTTTTATAACAATATGAGCATATTTATGATTGCAATATTTCGATCAATTCCCAGTGTACTTATAAGTACATGATAATTAAAGAAGCCACTGGGCAAAAATTAAGTATTAAGCATTTAGAAGAGCTGAAGTCATACTAAACATGTAGCAAAGTGATCACTCGAAGGCCGTGGGTTGCCAGCTACTGGTATAATTTAGAACTGAAGGCTGTAACCTTTCAGCATTCATCTTATACTTATTCATACCAGGCAAGCATGTGTGAGAATCACTCTGGGCTCTACTCATAAGGTCTGCCTCACAGCTTCTATCAGATCGATCCCTGCATGCTTCCAAACACAGGCTGTTCCACTTCTCACTAAGTAAACAGTTGGAGCATTGGTCTTAACCTTTATATTAATATTAAGAGCCTAAATTAATTGCATAGCATTCTTCAATAGTAAGATCAGTTTAAAGATCCATCCTGAAATTGTCATGTAATACAATAAATCCTAGAAATAGCCCTTGCAATAGACATACCCATTGTTAAAGGGATCTCCAGAACACTAGAAAAGCAGTGATGTTGTAATAGAACACTTATTGTGTTTTGCCTGGATGGGTATGATGTCCTTGTTCAAACTAATGGGCACTCACTAAAAAAGCATTGGGACCCAAATTCATCTCCCGGTCCAGGGGTTAAGAACCACAGAATAGGGCGAGCTCAAGCTTTTATAAAAAAAATATATATATATATATATATATATATAATAAATAAAATGGTATATCAAGGGGAAAAAATCAGTATTTGTTTAAATCTTGTGAATTAAAACTCAGAATCAGATAACAATATTCAGGCTAAAAGAGCTGATTTCATCCAATTCAGCTTGACTATATTAGCCTTGGTTTTGTCCTGTGACATGAGTCACATTACTATTCATATTTTAGTGAATAAATCCCAAGAGGATAAACCGTGGATAGCATGGAAGCAGTTTCATGAATAACATATGAAATAAAAGTTTCTGGTTACTTGACTTTGGATGGAAATAAAGATCGGATATGGGAGGTGCCCAGAGCGGCAGATCACAAGTTGTTGGTGCCTGGTGGTGAGTGAGGCAGGAGCCGGGCAGAGGGGATAGCTGTAGGAGGCTGGGGTTGGTACGGAAGTGGGGATAGCCGCATAGCACGACTGGCTGGATACTGGAACACTGCGGCCGATAGGGAGAGCCTCATAGGAAACAGTAGAACGTGGAACATAGTTTCGGTTCGTGTTCGAATGTGACGTCATAAAGAGAGAACTCCTGGGAAACAAGTCCTGTCCCAGAGAACAGGGTGTCCTCGGCAGGAGGAAGAGCTGGCTCGTTTTCTCGGATACAAAGGGAGTGAGAAGAGTGGAGCCTGGAGGACACAGACAGAGAGAGAGGGGGGCAGGCTCTGTAAGGCCACATTTAAAGACAGCCAATCTTCTCGAGGTGTCCATTACTTGGAAGCTCTTTATGTTGAGATAGTAACATTGTCTACATGAACTAGATCCACATGATTTGGGTTGAGAGGCGGATTTGTTGCTTGTGATTCTTTACCCCCCTCCCCCCCCCTACACCCTGCCTCCTTTCGCAAACCCTTGCTTCCCCTTTCCTGCCAGTGGAGAGGGGGACATTGTCTGGGATATAGTGTCATTCCTTTCACTGCCTTGTGGAGTTGGAGAAGAGCCTTGCTTCTGGATTTTATGCAAACAGTTGTTGACAACTGAAATCCAGACCTTACAACAGCACTTCTCTCTTGCCTTTGGATATCACGGTTCTCACTCAAGGCTCTCAACGTTCAACACTTTTTTAAAATTCACTTTGGATTTGTCTTACAAGCAGAGAGGAGCTGTCAGTGGCCCCAGTAGAGTTGGTGTACTTTGGATCATTATTCAGGATGAGGAGGCGTTAATGTAGATTGTCTGTACTAGTTCTGATAAAGGTGGATGTGTTTTCTTAAAAGAGGATATTATTATTATTATTATTATTTGGAGATTTGATGTTGCCCTCTTCCCCCAGCCTATATCAGTATCCATTTAACACTCGCAGAGCGACCTGGGATTACAAGGGACAGCGAGCTGTGCTGTGACTGGGGTCAAGCTCACGTTTCGGCCATAAAAAGCTCGTCTCTTCTTTTTTGGAGGTGATGCCAATCGCCTCCGGCTCAGTGCAGCCCTCCTCTCCGGACTCCAACCCCTACTCTAGGTATCGCCCAGTGCAGGCAGACAGCCTCCGGGACCCCAAGCAGCAGCAGCAGCAGGCGGTGGGAGGCGGAGAGGGCGGGGGTGGCGGTGGAGGAGGAGGTAGGCTGCTGCTGCCTTTCCCGGCTTGCCTCGATCCCAGCCAGGCTGAAGCAGGGGCCGAGGCTGCAGCAGCCATCGGCAGGGAAGCTGGGCTCAGCTCTGGATTACTTGCTTTTGGTGCTGTCTCTTCCTCCTCCCCCCAGTTCCCCCCTATCTTGCAGGTTACCCCTTCTTTCTCTTCCCCTTCCTTTTTCCAGTCTTTCTCCTCTGTTTCCTCTCCCTCTTCCACTCCCCCACCTCACCTCACTCCTTCCTTCCTATTCCCAGCTTTCCTGGAGCCCCCTAGGACCAGATCCAGATCTAGATCTGGATTCATCATGAACCATCATCACCAGCAGCAGCAGCTGCATGGCATGCCAGGAGCAGCTCACTACCACCACCACCACCACCAGCTCCACACCCCACCACCACCTCCCCCTTCTCTTCTTTCATCTGCCCTGCGGGGGCCAGGCATGGACAGGCGTGACAACAGCCCCCCAGAGGGAGCTCGACAACCCCACAGCCCACCAGCAGTGGGAGCTAGAAGGAGAGGAAGCAGCCCGACCACCAATAATCATCATTACCACCACCACCACCACTTAAGGTCTCCTGCAGGTAAGAGCCAATGACGTTGCTGGTGCACAGTTTTCCATGTGTTGTCCTTGAGCAGGGATCTCTAACTTGACATGTTACAATGTTCCCAAAAATGTGTTAGCCTGAAGAAAGTTTAGTTTCTGATGCCAAGCTCTATAAACTGTCACTATCTGAGTTGTTACACTGGTTTCATGTATATTAAAAAGTATGATGTGGTGCTTTAAATATGATATGTCTGGATAAAGGAAATGAGATTAAAGCAGCTATGGAATGATTGAATATATTAAACACAAGTTTTTTTGTCTTGTACAGTGCAGGTGCTATGTAATTGAGTGTCACCGTTGTACATATAAATATATTCGTTTTATTATCTTACTCTAGAATTTTTAACTTCTAGCTCAACCTCTTCAATAAAGTGTACAGCGGGATACATTGTCATCATTTGCAACAACGTATGCATTTACAAAACATTCACTGAAAAGGAAGCTGTGATAACTTGAAACACAGGATAAAATAGCCTAAAGTTAGAAAAATATCTATCTCAGCTGAATTGGAGATTTTATTTCTGTCTACATTTTATATACCTGCTTGGAGGTCGCCACAGTCCACTGTTTAATAAATACGACACATTTGCTTATTTATTTTAAATATATTATGTTGTACTCTGATCCATAGTACCTTACACAAAGCAGTAATACTACAATAATTTATGAGTACATTCAAAACACAATCAGAGAAAACATGACCTATTGGGACATCATACAAATGAATCAATAATTTATCCATACATAACAATACAAACATGCAAATAAACACACTTGCACACACATACATAATTTGGCAGTGCAAGGCTTTTGCATATATGATTTATACTTTTTTATGAATATTGTTAATTTGTTGCTTTGTATAGCTGATCACATCAAGAATTATTATTATTATTATTATTATTATTATCAGTTGTGTATTCAATCATTTCATAGGAGAATTATAGTATATTGTTTGTGCGTTATTGTGATACTGCAGTCTAAGGAACTAGGATTTTTTCTAGAGAATAGAGTTCAGGGAAGTTAATGGATGTCATGTTAAAGTTGTTTTATAATTACATCTAGTTTATATTCCTTCTGCGGAAGTCACAAAGTTGCTATGTATTTAAAGGGACACTATAGTCACCAGACCCACTACAGCTTAATGGTTCTGGTTCTGGTGCCTATAGCCTGTCCTTGCAGCCATAGCACTGTAAACACTGTCTTTTAAGAGAAAAGGCAGTATTTATATTGCTGCCTTGTAACACCTCTAGTGGCAGCCACTCAGACGGCAACTAGATGTATTTAGTAGTTCACTCCCTGCGTGGAGACACTGAACATTCCCCATAGAGATGCACTGATTCAATGCATCTCTATAAGGAGATGCTGATTGGCACAGCGCAGTGTTTTGCCATGCATGCGCAATAGCCTCACAATGCTTTCCTATGGGAAGTATGGGATTGGCTGAGATAATGAAAATGTATAACCTCAGTCATGGAGGCAGAGCCAGCCGCAGTGAGACTGGCACAGTGTGGGAGAAAAGGTGAGTAAAATCACCTTAAATTTCCAGAGATCGGGGCTATGGACCTAATGCTGCATTCCAGCACTATAGTGTCTGGAATACATGTTTGGTCTATAGAGTCCATTTAACCCCTTAAGGACACATGACATGTGTGACATGTCATGATTCCCTTTTATTCCAGATTTTGGTCCTTAAGGGGTTAAAATACATTTCCAAAATGTATGAAGTGCATTGCAATGCTGGCTATGTGGCAGATTGTCATAGTTTATGACTGACAGTGTGGAGAGAGCACCAACAGGAAATTCAGGAAAAAATTAACAATCAATGTTTAGTAAACAGTGACATACTGACACACTCGCAGTCTGTCTATATGCCTGCCTGTCTACCTGGCTATCTGCACACATACACACACACACACACACAGATTTTATTATTTGAAAAGTATTTCATAAAAATTGTCTAATTTTTGTCAAGTGTAATAGAGGAAGTAAATCAGATCACATTACTGCTTGAGAATTGCTCATCGCTAAACAAAATCCTTAAGTGATTGTTTTGTGATCCAGATGTGGATTACATTTCCACTTCCTTAAATTTAGAGTTAAAGGGACAGAATAGATATATCTTCTTTCAGTCTTAGAGGTGGAAATTAAGCTAGCTCTACCACTCTTAATTTGCTTGGTAGAATTCAGAGTATAATTGGTTCTCACCATCGATTCATTATTGGTGGTATATTGGTGTTAAGTAAATTTTTTCATTCTGAACGCCAATGTAATTATATTAAACAATAAAAAAATTTTATCAACGTGCGACCATATAATTTGCCAATATGAACAGTGAGTGCACTCAGTGGAATAAATTGAAAATGGAGTAACATATATTTTCTGTTCAATTAATTTTTATTGAATATTTTGCAATAAATTTTTATAGGGAAAAAAGAACAATGGCAAAGGGAATAAGACAACAAGGGGAAACACATTTTCTTCAGTGAGATAAAAGGTTGTACTTCATATTTGCAGGGATTCCTAAAATAATATTTGCCACACATATTTCTTCTCTTTTAAAAAGTCTCACTGGATGGTGTGTCATCTTAAAGTAAAAGTAAAGTTAAAGATATGTCATTCTTGCCTGTTCACCGTGAGAATCTGTTCATTTCACTCAAGATTCTAACATTATGTTCTTTCACATGGAAACTGAATCTGTCCATTCACTATATCTATTCATCCTGAGACTCTGAGAATCTTCCCATTCACCATTAAAACCTGTTCGTTCACCCTGAGAATTTGTTCA